TTTATATATGCGAGCCTATTACTCAATTTCCCTATGACTGTGTCGGTTGGGCTATCATTACATCGACTCAGTATGGCCAGTTCGACTAGCTTGAATGAGTTGGTGCAACCAATCAGCTTTGTTTGATTAACTTTGGGTTGGCAACACTGGCTCGGTCTGTTAGACTTTGCTCATTGGTTGGTATAGTATAAATATTGACCCTCGATCCATAGATGAGGGGCTTCAGTTGATAGAACAATACTAGGCTATGCAGCAGATGGTGACTCACTGTAACTCGAAGATAGCTCATTCCTTAATGAGGAGGCACTTTGAGATGGCTGTGAAGCCCCATTGTATGTCTAATTCTTGGTCCCTGAGAAGGAACCTCACGGCATTTGGGGGACGTCTGGTGATAGCAAGAAACAATATTCTTTCCTTGGGTTGGGTCTGCCGAGAAGTAAGTCGATGTCTTCACTCGACTTTCTTGTGGTAGTCAGTTTGGGTGTTGATTTGCATATGTAAGTCCGATCTGTCCGTATTTGGATTGTATCTTTTTTCATTCTCTTGCATCGAATGGTCTTTGCCCTTTGCTTGGATGGTTGCATCCAATTAGATAAGTGTGGCCTCTTTGTGTGTTGTCGGTGAGCCCTTCTTTGTTATACATCTTTTCTTCTGGGCTATTGGATCTCCACAAGATTCATGCTGACACATTGCTGATGTACATAACTAAATAATATTTGAATGTTATATGCATAATTGCCCCTAAAATATTCTACATAATTCACACTGAGTGCATGTATTTATTTTAGATGTATTGAGCTCATTTAAGAATTTTCGTTAAATTTTCTTTTGCTATTACATTAGAAAATATTGTTAAATTATATGTCTCCAAACTTTATAATTTTTTTTATGTTCATTCTGATGAATGATGAGTCATAAGTCTTAACACCAAGGCATGGTAACTTAGATAAAAAATCTCTCATGGTCGCGTCAAAATCCTCTGCCAATGCGATTTTGAAATTTGAAGTTGTGATCCTACAACAGAGGTGTAAATGAGCTGAACTCGAGCCCCATTATATTCGAGCTCAACTTGTTAAAGTGCCAAATTTGACCTAATTTGGCTCACTTACAAGAGCACTTATTCGGTCCAGAGCACGGACGTAGAGACCGTCCGTGCTCCAATCAAATAACGACACATGTATTTATAAGCCCCACTCCTTATTAAATAAAAAAAAAGAATTTTAATTACACAGCCCGACCTAACCCAGCGTACCACGACATGAAAAGGTATTATTTGGCATTTTCCCACCTATTTAATTACATTGTCCTGGCCCGGAAAGCCTCCAATTGGCCAGAATTTAAACTACCAAACTAAAATAGAAGATAAAGAGACGCCCAGGCTGTTTCGCTACGCAGTGCTCCATCCTCTGCTGCAAGATAATTCGCTCCATTTAAGTCCCCTCTTTACACAAAAAATGGAAGCTAATGAGCCCACCGAACAGACTGAAGTGCCCGAGATGATGGAAACTACAGAGCATGAGAAGGAAGGAAAAAAGATGAAGATGAAGAACACCAAAGAGCTCAAGAGTCATGAAAGTGCATCAAGGTAATATATTTTCTTTTTGTTGTTGCTTTCAAAATCTAGCATTGCAATATGGTAATAATTCGATACTTTTCTTGTATAACACTATAAAAAACCCAAAATAATACTAAAATATTACCAAAATAATACCAAAATAATACTGAAATAATACTATAACAAAACCAACACCATAAAATACCATAATAACCCCAAAATAATACCATAATAACACTAGCGATATAATAATACCATAATAATATCATAATAATACCATAATAAAATAAAGATAAAATCATAATAAAACCATGATAAAACCATAATAATGTTTCAATAACACCTCAAGAACACTAAAAGGACACCTTAATAAAACTTGAATAACATCTCCTTCTCTTTAATGCTTTTGAGGTATATTTTTTTGTTTATGGTTCTCGTTTTATTGATTTATAGATAGCTAATTAGCTATATTTTTTGCATGCTTTTTTTATTTGCAGGTTTGTGAACCCAAGCTACTTCAGTTGCAGGTGTCATCCATCCATTGTAAGAGATGTTCTTGATAAAGTCAAGCTTGGCTTATCAGAGGAGAGAATGAATAACTTGAGACCATTAAATGTAGGTCAATTTTTTGATCTACCTCCTTATCCCAAGACAATGTTCTCACACTACAAATATTAAAGTGTTGGCAATATGAGTGAATGGTATTCAAAATAGGTGGGGAAGATCTCCGAATAAGCTCTAATGAGATTGCCCTGCTGATAGGCATGCCGAACAAAGGTGAAGTGCCAAAATGGAATAAATCTCTGTTTTCCAGTGTGGATGCAGGCCAAATTAAGAATGAGATTTTGAATGTGCCAGGCGGGGAGTGTTATATACCTTTTGATGAATTTTTTTTAAAGTTTTTGTTATCAAACTTATTTTTCCCTTCTAGTAACCTTAGTGTTCCCAACGAGCTTTACATCTTTGCTAAGAACGTACAAACATTCAGCTCATTTAATTGGCCTGCAGCGTTATGTGATTTTCTCATGGAGCAAATCAATGCAGTAGCCATTAAAGTAAGGTGAAATCACTCTTTGGGATATATAAATGGTTTTATTTATCTCCTAACAGTAAGTGTTTTATACTAACCTCATAAAATTCATTCATTTTGTACAAAGCATTATATGACATTATATATACACAACTCTGGTTTTATGAGCATACAACTATGTTCACTCCTGCTAATCCTGAGGCCATACCCGCTGGATACTGCTGGTTGTTGATTTAAGAAATAGAAAATGGAAGTTGTACGATTCATTACCCAACAAGAAGCACAAGGGGGTGTGCAATGACGTTGTAAGTATTCTTCAGAGAATATCTCATTCTTATTCAGCTATCTAAATGCATTAATCACTTCCACATGATAATTTGCCAAATCAAATTGTTTGTAAAAGATTGTGGAAATGAGTTCAGAGCCAATGTGGCCAATTGGTCACTATCACTCGTGGGTGGAGTCCCTGTACAAAATAATGGCATTGACTGTGGCATGTTTGTATGCAAATTTATGAAAAAATAAGTTCAAGTCCACCAAAGTGACTGGAGTGAAGAGAAAGATTGGCAGGCGGATATGTCGAAATTTAGGCAGAGTTTGCTTAAGATCTATGTTCCTGTACTATGTCTCTAAAATTAGCAAAAATATGATGTATATGTGTTTGTATCTATTTATATATTATCTATTTTGAAGTTGAACCCTTGGATTGGATACCTCAGTTGTTGTATATCAAACATTAGAGCTGCAATTTTGATCAGGTTGGAGTAGTTCTAATCAAAATTGGTACACTAATTGATTCAATGAAGTTTCAATGTGATTAACTGCCTCGAACGACACATATGATTCTTAAATTTTATAGACTTCATGAGTTGGGCATTATTCTAATTTGATTTATGTGTTTAGCAATAAGAATTGAATTTTTTTAATAAGTAAATATAGTTAAAATAAATTTATATTTTACGCTTTAGTTTAGTCAGCCGTGAATTAAATTTTAACTTGGAGAACTGATCTAAATTGATTTGTTATTTTTAAAAACTTTTTTGATTCAAACTTAATTAGATATTTCATTAAATTATTATTTATTTTAAACTAAACATTTTTTCTATAATATTACAATAATGCTTCAATAACACGGTGGATGATTCCAATAATGCTTCAATAATATGGCGGAATATTCCAATCCGAACGCGTCATTTTCTCCTTTAATAAAGCTAGAATGAAACTGCGGAATATTCCAATTCAATTGCGGAATATTTCAATATTGCATGGGAATATTCTTTTATTACCGCTTTATAATTTCATCCAACAGCGCATCAATATATTACCTCAATCACACGGGGGAATATTCCCTTAGTGCGACCGAATAATATAGTAATACCAGAAATAACCACAATGTCACAAGAATTATTGCCACAATACTGTCGTAATATTACCATAAAACTGCAAAAATAAAACCAAACACTGCTTCAATGAACAAAACACTGCTTCAACAAAAACTCAAAGTATTTTAACATTTTCAATGTAATTTGATTATGCAATACATCCATTTAAAGGAATTTCAAGATTGATATCTTATATATTGCACTTAGAGTTCAACAATGGACTGCATCAACATTTCAGTGTAAGTTCGTGATGGTTGTGGTGTGAAATATTCCTTTTTTTAAGAGTACCATTAAATTAACACTCAAGAACATATTTTATTTAAAATAATGTGTAAATGCATGGAATTTATAAAACATACCTGACAAAGACTATCTGGATATTGCAGTCAAATTTGTGTCATATGGGATATGTGGTTCTTGACTTGTTGAAGCTTCTTGCACCTCTCCTGCATTCAAATGATTTAAGTAAGAGTAATTTAGATACACTCTCAAATGGTTTAGTAGTTGTTCAATGTAGACATACATACTTTTTACTCTCTTATTTATCTCCTAGTAACCTTGTAAACTAGAAGTGAAGATTCCTTTGGGTCTCATATTCTCCAGGTCATTTAAGTTGCACTCTATATTCAAAGATTTCTTCTTTTTATTCTTATTCTTTGCCTGAGGTTCTTTCCCAACTAATATGCCATCAAAGTATATAGATAATTGTTTAAATGATTCCAGCATACGTTGCTCAAATAATTTAATTCCTTGTGCTCTATTAATAAGATAGTAGGCAAACTTCTGAGCATGTGTGCAAAATAAAAAGCCACTTGAAGATCCATTGGACAGTTGGGACTCCTTAAGATGTTTGTATCCAACGCTATTATATATATCCCTCTTTGCATGCACAGACCATCGCAATAAGAAATATTTGTCAGGAATCTTTGTTATATTTATGACATTAAAAACACGTAGACAGTGAGCACACAATAACCCCATCATCTCAAATTTTTTGCAGCTGCATGTGATATCATAATTAATCTTATCAAAATTAACAATCCAGGGTTTGTTTATCCTGATTATCCAAATTCCTTACGTAATATTCAGAATCACTTTCTACGAAAACTTCGACGGCTAGTCCACATGGACCATGCAATAACTCTCCCTCAAACATTGAGTAGAGCTTCCTTGTATATAATAAAGTAGCTTGCCTCAACACTGGACTGCTTTTAACCACAAGTGTAGTAACAAACTGAGATCTTTTGAAGTCTGCATCCTTCTCATTTCTTCTCCATGATTTCATAACATTTTCAAGGCCCAGAAAACATTCAGTGAGGGAGCTTGTAGGCTTGCATACACCATGACATATATTATTTGTGGACTCGCTTCTTTGTGTTGATAGGATCTCCATTCCAAATATAGCTTTGTTGAAGGCTGTAGACCACCTATATCTTATATTGTACAAATCATCTAACCACACGTTATAGTGTAGATTTCCTTGTTGAATCATTAGGGACCAAGTCTCTTTGAACTCTTCCTCGGAGTCACACTTGCTCATGCATTTATAGAAAAGGTTGCTAACACTCTTGATTCCATTACCACAATGCACCATAGATGGAAGTTTCTTGTAGATATGTCACTGACATATTCTATGTCATGTATGTGGGAGACAATCTTGGATAGCTCTTGCCATTGCCTGATCCTGATCAATAAAAATTGTAATTTGATGTTTGTCATCCATTACACGAAAGAATGTTTTAAATAACCACTTGAAAGAATCAATCATCTCGTCTGGCAAAATCCAAATTTCAAAGAGAACATTTTGTTAATGGTGGTTAACCCCTACAAAAGGAGCACAACATATATTATACTTATTCAGTCTGTAGCTTGTATCAAACATTATGACATCCCCAAAACTGTCATAATCAAGTCTGGATATGCCATCACTCCAAAAAATCTCGTTACTATGCCATCCTCGTCAGTTTGGAAGTCCCAAGCAAACATGTTATCCTCAGCTTGCCTTTCCATGAACAGTTGCAGTAAATAATTAGCATCGCCATGTTCAATTCTATCTCTTCTATCTCTTTGAATAAAATTATATACATCTCGCTTCGTACATTCCATATTCTCTACTCCTTCAACCTCTGTAGCAATAAAGTTAAATGCATCTATTGCTCTAATCCCTGATCCTGTCATAGACATCAGCATATCTGCATTCATCTCGCATATCTTTTTACTAGAATGCAAAAGTTGTTTATCCCTAGTTTCTACCAAGGGGTGGTTATGACTTTCAACAATTTTCTTAACTGTAGTTGCCCTCAACATCAATAACATATCGAACCATGGTTTGACAATCAGTCATTGTGTCTATGTTTCTGTACTTCGCTGTATTAGTATCTTTAACTCTCTCTTGTGACCAATTTTTTCACATAAATAGTCCTTTGTCTTAAGTTTCTTTGAAATTGGTCAAAAATTGTTGTGGTCCCAGTAAAACCAATAAGGTGTGCATATGCACAATAGTTATTATATGCTTCTTGCTCGTTGTGGACAATGGTCAGAAGAAAATTCTTCACAATTAGATCATTGATAGCATCTACAAACTCAGCAACTTGAAAATTTGCATAATATTAACAAAGCAATGAAAGAAATACCGTAATCATACCACAATAAAATGTTAATAACATTGTCCTTAAGAACCACAATAATACCAGAATAAACTCACAATAATACAAGAATAACACATTAGTATCATTGCCCTCGAGAATTCTTAGAAACATATAAACGACAAATCATACTACAATAACATCACAATAACCATACCAAAATAACAGAATAACTAATGAATAACATTATTCATGGGAACTTCTGTCTAGAAACATAAAGAGTACAAACTAAACCCAAAATAATACCATAATAATACAAAAATAATATTATCCTTATGAACTTCCATCTTGAAACGTTTAAGGATAAATAACACGATAATAATATAATAATAACCCCATAGTAACATAAAAAATACTCAATTCAAACTGAAGAATATTTCTAATATATCCATAAGTATTTCAAGACTAAATAATCCTAAACCACAAATATAACCACGCAAACCATTGACCTTTAACATAAACAATGGCTTCATGATAATGGGCACATTCCAAGCGAAGCTAAACTCACCTCGGTCTGAAACTCATTCCCATTGTCTTGGAAATCCATCATCAACATGTCTTGGTCGAGAGAGGAGTCCATCATCGCATCAGCTCGTCTGGATAGCAAATGAAAAATGTGTCACCCTAAAGAATAAAAAGCTTCATTCGAATCAGGGAAAGCGAGACGAAAAAAGCGGGAAAATCCCGAAGAAAGTTGGGTCGGGCCTCCGCTGCATTTTTTATTTTTTAAATGGTGGGGCCAACACATCCAGATGTTGGCATTTCATTGTTCTCCGAACCGTGTGGAGAAAAGACTAGCATTCCTACTTATCCATTGACCATAGAAATGGTGGGCCCTTTTCCCGGCAATCATTATCCTCCAAGCTCTTTTACAGCTAAAACATGCAGTGGCAGCGGATTGGAGGAAGAGAATAAGTGTGCAATTAAAGTAACGGTGACTGGGGCGTAACTCAAATTACAACTACAAAGGAGAGGGGAGAGGCCGTAACTTCTACCAAATAGTTCATGTGGAGAGCCGCCCTCAGTTGTTCCTACCTCTCCTCTGTAATTTCTAGCTCTCATCTGATCCGTAAAGCAAGTATCCTGGCCCCCACATGTACTCTCGGCTCTGAACCGGTACTCTTTCTCACTATTGCTTTCTTCGGTTTCATTCAGTTAAAAAAGAAAATGCATGCATCAGATTGGGGCATTTACATACACGCCACACAATTCTTATGTATTTACATCTGTAATATCTACTTTCTTAAATCCTTAATTTCACATAAAAATATCACTATTGCAAACTTTGTAAAAGAGAAATATGCATTTTCTTGTAGAATTTATGACACCGAAGTGCTATAAATCTATAAATCAAACTTAAGGTGTTAAATATATAAATAAAAAGAATTTTGTGGCATTTATGTGAATTTCTCAATTTTTTAATATTCTTCTGATAATTGAAATTCTTGTTCTATTTTGAACAGTAGATAAGGCTTATTTGTATATACATGCAATCGGATAAGAATTACACAAGCCTGTGGATTGCTATGACCGGAATATTTAAATATTTTTTTTTCTTTTACCCATTTTAATTAATCAGTGTTCGGGCAATCCTTCAAAGTCTTTAGCTTGCTTGCTAATTAATATATCTAAAGCTAAGTCAAGTAATTTACCTATAATAAATAATAATATTGAAGTTGTCTTCGCAATAATGCGAAAATGTAATGATAAATTAGATATAGTAATCCTTTCACAAGTTTTTTATGTGCTAATGACTCTTGGCTAACGTATGCATGCCACTCAATTCTTATGTATTTACATATATAACACCTAAACTTCAATGTTTACATGTGCATGATAAGGTATATTTCACTTTTTAAAAATTAAAATAGTGTTATTTCCTTATGTGATGTGAAGAAATCTGGGTGTTAGGGATGTAAAAAAGTATAATTTAGATGTCAGATATGTAGAAATATAAATTTGTGGTTGCCAGTTGAATGGAGGAGAGCCACAAGTATATGCAGCATTAATTTCGACCACCAGTTTTTCTGGCCATTAATTTCAGGCTATTTCTGCTCAATCAAATAGCTTGGTTTGGGCAATCTCATGAGTCATTGTCTAATTTCGTCGCATTTGTCCAATCTCTCACACTTTCTAATCTTTTATGGTGAAAATGCTTTACATTTAGTATATTTTAGTTGTTAATGTTCCCTAATAGTTGCTTATTTAGATTCAAGCATTGCTAAGTTTCCCAAGCTAGTATATTTTTCCTTGTTGCTAGTATCTAACAAAAAGCATTATGTTTAATATTACTGTTGAGTGCATTAAAAAAATTATATAAAAATCTTCAGAATTTGGAATCCTGTATATATATACTCTAATGTACTTTATTTATTTTCATTTGGTGAGGGTGATATAAATTTAGGGATAATTGCATGCATGGTACCCGAGACATTGTAATTTATAAATTGATCATTTTTATCGTTCATTTAGAATTTGATTAAAATGAAAAATAGAGTTTGAGATTTGATACGTCACCAACAAATTTTCATCATCCAACATGAATCTCGAGGCATGACACAATATTTTGAATAAGAAACGTTCAAATATTGATAAAAAGTCATCCGAAGCTCCGATTTCAGCAAACTTATGGTCAAACTGACCGGCTCGATGAGACGGTCCTAATGATATCATAGTTAGTACAATCCGAGTCAAATCAAGCCCAAATCAAGTTATTAAACCACCGTTAGAAAATTTTTGGACATATTTGGAAGGTCAAACGGATGACGACACTAGTAAGTTTTTACTTGAATCGAGCATCTCGATAAGGCCAATCGAACGAGCCCAAGATCACTCAATTCTGACATCGTTAAGGCACTCAAACGTCCAATAAACGTTGCATGATCGAGAGAAACTCTTTAGACAGTCCGATCAAAATGGTTGATATTATTGCATTAATTGCACCCAGTACACTATAAATGGACCCCCACCCTTCACGTGAGGGGAAGCTGGAGTCTAGAGAGAGGGTCTGAGGCATTGAAGAGAAGCTGCAGCTTAGTATCACCGACCTCCGTCGTCTACCACCGCCGACCCCCGACGACCACCGCCGACCGTCGTCGACCACCGCCGACCGTCGTCGACCACCGCAGATCGTCAACCTTCGCTAACCATCATCGACCACCATTAACCACCATCGATCACTTTGCAATAATCAATCAAGTGAATTTCCGAAACTGGGCCAGGCCTCGTGGTTTTTCCCTTACGGGTTTTCCATGTAAAAACTTCTGGAACATCACCGCTTATTTCTCTTTTATCTGTGTGTGTGTTGAACTTTCGTATAATACTAAAACAATAGTTCGTTACTCTACCGCCGTGAATTTTCTATCACACATCAATATTTTATTGAGAATTTCAATATTTGAGGCAATTTTTGTAAAAATATGCAATGTGGTGTTGGTTTTGTAAATAGCAATTTTTGGGGTGTATTGTCTATGAATGCCCCATCAATTTAATAGTTTCCTGAAGTACTTTTAGGTATGTTTGGTTCCAAAGAATTGGAAGGAATGCATTTATTGAATTTATATTTATTTATCTTACAAGAAATAAAAACACAAATTCTTATAAAACAAATTTATAAGAGAATGCATTTTTTCCTCAATTTCTTCTCGGCCAACTAAGAGTGAGAGTAATTTTTTACTTAAATTTCAGTGTCATTAGTATTTCCATTAATTTTTTGTTTCCTTTCTTACAACCCCTTCAAACAAAAGTGAGCATCTAAAAAGGTTTTTCTTTTCATAGTTGCAGCTTTAAATACTTGTATTTAATTAATATGTGGTTTAAGAGAAATTCTAATAATGAGATTTAAGAATTTTATTGTTCATTATCAACAACAAAGCAACAACAAAAAAAAACTTGTATCCCACTAAGTGGGGTCGGCGACATTCTCCGTTGGGTCCTATTGATTGTCATA